CACATGCTTATACTCCTTTTTCTCGTCAGATATTGCAAATTCAGTGTTAAAAGAAAACGAAAAGTAATAAATTTTTCTTTGCGTTTATTAATATACCGCGTACATACGTTGTTTGTACATGTGCACATTATTTTAAATTAGGTTAAGATCAAATTCTGAAATTATACAAAAAATCTTTACGTGAAGTTGTGTTTTACTTATTACACGGTCGCTCTCAGAACGTGTGAACTAGCGTATAGATAGAAAAAAAAAAAACGTGATACAGAGAACCGTGAGAAGTTTGGTGCAAAGAGATTGTTTTAAAAGTTTTGAGGAATAATTTCGAAAAAATCTTGTAGAAAAATCAAAGAGGAATACACTTAACAAAGAATGACACGATAGGTGTACATTTGTAGATAAGAAGGGTGCACAAACACATACACACACACACACACACACACACACACAGCGAAATACATACATATTGTAGCATGGAGAAAGTTAAAAGCAAAGTAAAAGTAAACTTGACGGGAGTCGAGAGAAACGGCGAAAGAAACTGAAAGTGTATCTGTTTTAAGATCCCGTCGATCATCTATTAAGACGTTATTGCGATATCAAAACTCATTCGCAATGAATAGATCAATGTACATCAACGTATTTGAAACATCAATTTAGCAGTGTAGTTAGTGTTATATACATCTTCATTTTTTAATAGCGATATATATATTTATAACGTTATAATAATTTCTGAAGTTTATATAAAAATGCAGTAAGAAGATCAGCTCGATTCTGATGACTCAATTTTCTATAACAAACGTAATACTTTCTCTCACGGAAAGATCTCCCGCTGATTGCGAGCGCACCTGAAAAAAGAATGCATCTGATAGACCTAAATGATTGAAAACTTGGAGATAAAAATGGCACATACTTCGAGTATTTTAGAAAATACTATATATATTTCACAGCTTTGGAATCTTGATCCGACATTAGATTATTGTGAGTTTTAATGGTGAGGTCACAGGAGGTGTCCGCACTGGTGGATTATCTTTTAAAAAACACCGATGACAAATTCCTTCTCGATTCTCAAAACTCTCGCTTGATTTATTGAAAAATGAAAAATGTGCGAATACACTTTTCAAAGTGACAACGAGGTTTCCCCGAAAGGAGCCATTCTTTTTGACGTTCTTTATCCGCCAAATTCCGCAATGCGGAGATGAGTAGCGGTAAAAAAAAAAAAAAAAAGTTGAAACCTTCGCTTGTGGATCCTCACGAAACAGGACACAAGTGGATATATACGCCGTTCCCGCGCGGTAGGTGGTCCAATGAGTGGAGGATGAAGTCGGCATCGTCGGCGGTCGCATCAGCCCGATGTGCGCCACTCTCTTTCTCGAAGGGGCGCGTTTTTCGAAAGAGGTGAGAGGGACGCGCGGAAAGAACGCGGAGGAAGAACGAGATGATGACCGGGAATGAGGGGAATAACAGAAGATAGGCTGTCTGAGACGGGGAATGAACGTCGGCCGATCAGACCAAATCGCGAGCGTTTCCGGTGACTGCACAATTTCGCGAGTCGAGGACGAAGAGCAAGCGACGTGATTATGCGGGAAAAGACAAAAGAAGCGAAATTGGTCAGCGGTCAGCGGTGGGTGGCAGGAAGAAAGAGGACAGGGGGTCGCTTTGGGGGAGGGGAGGACGTCAGGTATGGGACGAAGGTCGTTAGCTCTAAGAAAAATTAGTCGTTTGGTAGAGCCCTGCCCCACCAAAGAGATGGGTCAATCAGATACGAAAACACTTGTCGGGACGAGCGGTCGGCGAGGTAACAGGGACTACAAAAGATTGTAGACACAGGTATACTCTCCTAATGACTGGCTTAGGAATTCAAACCTTGAAGAGACCCGCTGTGGATGAGAGTGCACGGGAGGAAGCAGAGTGGCTTCCTCGTGTCATTTCGAATTCGGAACAGGAGAGATATGCGCGTGTGTGTGTGTGTGTGTGCGGAGATTCGCCTCTTCGGTGCACCGGCGGGGGGTCCGACGCTCTCACTCAAGAGCTCAAACTAATAAGGACTTTTACGGCCCCCACAGCGGCATTCTGTTTTCTGCGCTTATCAAGCGCATTATTTACAGAACCGCGATAAGACGGAGTAAGCAAATATTTCAGGTGATTAAGATCACGCTTGACGTGTGATGCTGGATACCTTATATGGATTACTATTATAAGAGATGCTGTATATATATATATATATATATATATATGGATTTTTGGGCAAAAATTATTTCTCTTAATAAACGAGTAAACACGAGGAAGATCTTTTTTGGATTCAGATGTAAAAATTCAAAGAGTACACTGAGAAAAAAAAGTTGTTGAAGTAACAAAATAGTATTTGCTTCAACTATATGCAGCGGTCACGGGTTGTCAATGAAATATTGATTAATGTAAGAAGATATCATGTTTCAATAGATATAATAATTAGGTTAGGTTATACCGAAAGACAATTTAGTTATTTTAACAAAATTATAATCTGCTTAAATACAGATAACTTTGAATGTACAACACAATAGGACAACACAATATTTTGTCTGCTTGTAAAAATAAGCAGTTTGATTAGGTGAAATACTTAGTACAAAGAAATTCAGATTATATTCAATTAAAGTAAATAAGAAGTGCCTATTTCATCTTTTTTAACAATATCTTTTATTTGAAATTATCACAACTTATGTTCGACAAAACAATTCATGGTTTAGTGAATTAAATAACTTCATTACCACTATTGTTAATTCAACTTATACGAATTTATTATCTTTATTACCATATGCTTGAATTGAAAACACAAGTATTTCAGATAACAAACTGAAACTCAATTAAACGCATTTAGTTCAGTTAATAGTATTTTTTTCTCAGTGTAGAGATGTATGACGGGCTGAACCAGTTTGCGAGGTGTTTTGACGTGATACACATTTATATTGGTCCCAAACGTTTCGATTTAATTTTAAATCATCTCTTCAGTGGGAACTAAAAATAAATACAATATTTTCGAAACGTAGAAAAAAGTAACGCAATGAAACTTGTAATCGGTAATCATTTCTCTTTTATTTCTCCTTCTCCATCTTTTTTATATATATATTTTTTTTTATATTTCATGCTTGTTAAGTATCCGAAAATATTTGTATGAGAAATTGTAGCATGAGTGGTTCTCCAGGTGTGAGCACTATTAATGATCATTTGAAACTTCCTGAAATCCCCTGATAAGATAGGTTTTTTTTAAAAGGAATTTAAATCCTCTCGGCAGTCCAAAGAATGTCACAGCAATTTTCGCGGTGGATTGGTTCTGGCTATTGTCGAAAAACGGAACACGGGTGTTCGAAAGTGACGACATTTAGCTAAAGCCAAGTGGAGAATCGTGTCCAGTGCAAGGTTTCCGATCATTCAGAGGCGTGGTCGTAAACTTTTAGTGGTTGGCTCGCGTATATATGTTTCGAGATATACTACCTTCTTGCCCTTTGCGGCGGTTCATTCGTTCGCTATCGATACATGTCGGGCTTTCTCTTCTTCTTTTTTTTTTTTTTTCATCACTCACCGTCAATCTCTCTCTCATTCTCTGTGCGAGAGAGACACTCTGTTCCTTTTCCGGTTACCAGCGCGAGAAACACACCGGACCTACTTGCCGCCCAAATCAAGATAGAGCAGCCAGCCTATAAAACATAAATGGGGTTATTGGCCCGAGCCTTTAAGTCCGGTAATAGATTTTCACTTTGCCGCGGCACACCGCACGTTTTAGCACGTTGCTCTCTTCTCGCAAATTTTAATGTATGTTTTTTTTTTTCATTACCGGATTTTTAACCGGCTCGATCGTCGAATTTTATGGCCGACTTTTACAGCGTCGGTTTTAATTACTCGAACCCCGTTCTTTCTTCTCGTAAAAGAGAAAAACAATGCTTTAATTGTTTCTTTTTGTTTTATTTGTAATTATTTGCAATCGCGCGTTGCGGAACATCTAGATCTTTCTTCGTTAAATTTTGTTTTGCGAGGAACATCGATACTATTTATTGACGATGCTCGGTGTAATCGAAGTCCAGTTTGATAACTTCTTCGCAAACTTGCGAAGTAGACGGTAGGAAGATAGCCATCAGCGTTTGTTAGTACGTTTATTTGTATGAGCTACACGTCCGCGCGACTACATCTGGCACTCGGCCAGTATAACTATCGAGCTGCGAATCGAAACAGCCGTAATTATCTGTGTTTACGTGACACTCGTAAAGCGCGAAACGCGTTAACGCGGCACATAATTTTTCAGAAAAAGCTAAATAATCCATTCTCGCTTTAATTACGAAATTCTTTCTTTACACGTCAAAATTGAAAACTTTAACAATACCAAATTACAGATTTTTATATTTATTTGATTCGTTTTAACACGTAACTTACATAAAACTTACATATCTGTCATTGATACACTCAAATAATTAATTACTTGAATATGCAATGTATGTGCGCGATAACAAGAGTCTTGAAGACAAAAAAAATTGTGCATTGATTAATATTACGACAGAGCTTGCTGTGTCGTCACAATCTGAGCGCGCGAAATGTCAGCTGCTCTGTGGATTATTCGTGACCTTTAAATCGTTTATAAACGTAAAAATACACATGTTTTACAGCCTCGTTATTTTCGTATCAAAAACTTTTGCTTTACCACGCGCGATTCCGCAAAAATTCCTGTTATTAAAATATTTTCCGAGAGATTTTTGAGCCATTTTGTGCGAAAAAGAAACAATCTAACATTGAAACGGTAAATATTGTTTTAAATTTAAGTTTTGCAAAAAATAGAATAGAAAAATCATTTGGTATTGTAGTTTATACATATTTTGTGTCGCGTGGATTTATTTTTTGTGCGTTTACATCGTAACACAATTCGATCCAATATCTGACTCGTGTGTGAACGGAGTCAGCTGACACCATCTACCGAACGTAACGAGTAACTACCCGTTGTTCGCAGCGCGCGGTCGGCATTCCTGTCATCGTACAATACACGTATATATTACATTTAAAGAAACGTGGCCAATTGGAATTGGAGATTCTAAATACGCGTTGTTTGAGCTTTTCACGCCTTCTTTCCCGTTGTAATTGCGCTGTCAGCAAGTGCTGGTTGCGCGATCGGGTTGACACTCGGTTCGTTGATCAGTCTGCTTTTGCCGTTTGTTTGACGAAGTATCCACTAATCCAATATAGAGCCACACAGCGCCATTGGAACGTATGTTGCAACTACATTGACGTAAGTCTGATTGTTGAAAATTCTCAGAAATTTGTTAATTTCCTTTAATATCTGCCTTTGCCAGTCTTTGTCATCTAAATTTCAAAACGACTGTCGTTCCGGAAAACTCCGGAATCTATTGCTCCGAATTGATCATCGTTTTTTTCATGTGCAACTTTCACTTTTTTTTTTGAAATTCTACACAGATCTTTCTTTTCATCGTTCACATATGACCTTGTTTGCGCGTGCTTTTTTCACATCTGTGTTAAACATATTTTTTAAATTCACGATCGTGTTTGTATACATAGGCTAGTATTGTATTCATATAGTCGAATATTATATTTAAGGTCGCGTTTTTGAGATGCTCTTTAGCCAATCAAACAACTCATACAACATGTTAAGATTAAAACGATCTCAAAAATAACATCGGACCATGAATACCGATCGGTAGAAACGGTATTATTGTTTTTCTTCGTCATATGTATACAGACATGTAATAGAAATATACAATAACGTGTTATTTGAAAGACTAGAATAAAGCAAACATGTGCGAAGCGAAAAGTGTTGAATAGGTTTTGTTTTGTGAAAAAATTGTATGATAATTTATATGACAAAAAGAAAAGAAAATAAACTGTACGTAAAAATAAAAAAGTATCATATATTTATCTAATTAAATACGTATTACACAAATGAGAAAGAGATAAACAGTTATATACGTTTTTTATTTGAACAAAAAGTTTGTATAATAGAAAAAGACAGATTTTTGACATTCGTTAGGATTTTTGTTCTGATTAGTTCCAGAATGCAGTACCTTTTGCCGTTACTTTTGGTAGTTTTAACAATACAAACATCAACCGCACCTCCAGTTACGCAACAAAAGAAGGATGGAGAACATAAAGACAATGAGAACGAGGTCGAGGAGATCGAGGAGGTAGGATATTTTGAGAATAATGTCATTGATCTTTTTAATTTCTATTGTTGATTGCACACAAAACTTTTTTTGGCTGCAGGCAAACGCTTTGGAATATCATAGATACTTGAAGGAAGTTGTTGAAGCTTTAGAAAGTGATGCGGACTTTCGATCAAAGTTGGAGAAAGCTGACGAAAAGGACATACGTGTAAGCATTACATTTAATTTATTTATATTTACAATTTTTATTGTATATTTATGATATTTATGCAGACGGGCAAGATAGCGCACGAGCTGCAATTCGTCGATCACAAGATCAGAACAAAGCTAGACGAATTGAAACGAGAAGAGTTAGAAAGACTGAGACATCTTGCTACCAAGGAACATAATTTGATGAACGGGTTGGATCTTGATCATTTGAAGATTGCTGAGCATTTGGATCATTCCAACTCGCACACGTTTGAGATAGATGATTTAAAGAAGTTGATTGCCAAGGTTTACGCATTTGAAAACAAAATTATTCAGAATAATCAAGTTTTAACAGTTAAAAAATAATTCAAAATTATTATTAAAAAATTGCAGACTACCAAGGATCTGGAGGAAGCTGACAAACGAAGACGTCAGGAGTTCAAGGAATACGAAATGCGAAAGAAGTTCGAGGAAGAGCAAAAGATGAAGGGTAATACCGGTAACAAAACGTAACATTTCTAGGCTTGCTTATTTACTTAAATGTATAACAGTAATTATCATTATTTATTGCGAGGACTAATAAATGAAAAAATTACGATGCGTTGTGTTTGAGTCGCATTTGTCATTTCTTGAGTTAACAAATTGTATTTTTGGAAGGTATGAAGGAGGAAGAGAGGAAAAAATACGAAGAAGAGTTAGAAGAGATGAAGAAAAAGCACAAGGATCACAAACCTGTAAGTTAAGCTTATTAAAATATGGATATATGTATGTAGCATATAACATATGAATCGATGTATATGTATAAATATTTGTTTTTATACTACACTTTTCTTGATAAGTAATATCATGTGTGCAGTTGCATCATCCTGGTAGTAAGCAACAATTGGAAGAAGTATGGGAAAAGCAGGATCATATGGAAAGTCAAGAATTCGATCCTAGAACGTTCTTCTTTCTTCACGGTACAAAAAGAACTGTTTTTTTATTATCAATATTTTGATAACTTTGTTATTGAGATAAAAAAAGATTTAAAAGTTTGATTTTTCTATATATATATAAAGTATGATTTCTATATAATGTGTGCGTGTGTATGTGTTTACATGATTAAAATTAATTGAACTGATTTAGATCTGGATGGCAATGGGTTTTGGGATCAGGACGAAGTGAAAGCTCTGTTTCTAAAGGAATTAGATAAACTTTACTCCGAAGGAGCTCCCGAAGACGATATTTATGAGAGACGCGAAGAAATGGAGAGAATGAGGGAACACGTGTTTAAAGAAGCTGATCTTAATCATGACGGTCTTATAAGGTATAGAAATTGTTGGAATTTATCGTCAAAAATATATTTTATAAATTGAGTATCACAGAATCAACAAAGAATCACACGTCGTGAATATTTTATTGCAGTTATGAAGAGTTTTTGGAACAGACAAAAAAACCAGATTTCACCCAAGATGAAGGATGGCAAGGATTGGATGAACAACAAATTTATACTCAGCAAGAGTACGACGCTTACATACAGCGCAGGCAAGAAGAAATACACAAAATGAAAATCGCCAAAGGAATGGTAAGTACACAGTTATCACGTATAATTATGAATGAATGCAGAATTTTGTTATTGAGTAGAAATACAATTAAAAAGATGTAAATCTTAGAAATTTAGTTGTATTGTAGAATAATACCGTTTAAAAATTAATATTGAATTTAGTTTCTTACATTAGACTTTACAAAAATGCGTGTAAGAATTGAAATGTAATCTTGATGATTTTGTTTCTTGCTTTCATACACATTCTTTTTTTGATAGCATGTTTGATGTAAAGTTAGAAGACGCTGTGTATATTGTTTCTTTAACTGAGTAGATAAACACAAGAGTTTTACTTACTAGCACGATATAAATATACTTGATATAATCGATATGAATCGATTGCAAGTACAATCTTGTGTGAACTTGACTATCACTTCGACTGCAAGGTCGTTTTATTGTAGCGATTAGGGTAATTAACTTAGCTTGTGCACTTTTTGTTGATATTGTTAGTTACCACCATCCCATGAAACTGCACATCTACCTGTCCAACACGAACAGGTAAGCAGAAACTGCAACATAGTGAATGACATTTTTGTAAATTGATTGTTTTTGACAAACTTATAGTTATTTTTTTCCATCATATCTTATTGTCATTACAGTTCCCACCGTATCAGCAACCGATACAGCCGCAACAATTTCAGCAGCAAGTACATCCTCAACAACAGTATCCAGGACAGATACCGCAACAACCAGTAGTCGGTCATGTACCGCAGCAATATCTGGGTCAAGTGCCACAGCAACACGTTTATCAACCTCAAGTTCCATCACAGCAACCTCATCCCGGGCAAATTCCACAACAGCAGTATCAGCAGCCGCAACAAATGCAGCAACAGCAAATGCAGCAACAACAGCTACATCAGCAGTTCCAAGCTCAGGCTCAACTACAATATCAAAACCAGCCTCAGCACACTCAGCAACAGTTCCAAGGCCAGCCTCAGCACGCTCAGCAACAGTTCCAAGGCCAACCTCAGCAAGTTCAGCAACAAGCGCAACAACAACAACTAACGCAGAATCAAGTTCCACAGAATACTCAGAATAACATTTCATCGAATGGTCAGGGAAGTGTACAAAATAGCCAGAATCTTCCACAGCAACAAGATCCGAAGTCTTCTCAGAAACAAATTAACCAAAATATTATACCAGAAGTACAGAAGGTATAAATAACGTCAGCCGGAATAATTAGTATAATTATTTCTGCATTTCTTTGCAGACTGTTAATTGAACTATTAATTGAAAATAAAATAACTTTCTTGAATGGGTTTTCGCATGTGAAGAGTACGAATACGAACATGTAAGGTTTTCTTTAAAGTTTCATATTAGAAAAGAATCATTTTCTATGTGAGCTGAAAAGTTTTTTTTCATTTCTTATAAAACTCGTGCAACAAATAAGTGCGATCAAAAGATTTTTTAGATTATTAGAACATATTTAATTCAATATACTTAATAATTTTACGTGTAAGATTGCTGATTATTTTCACAAAAATGTTTTTCTTTTTTAAAGTTAAAAGATAAGAGTCATTTATATGTACGAAATCATCTGCTGAATATTATTGTTTATAAATAAAATGTTTTCCGAAAATTATATCTGTTCGAATACCAACTCGCTTTTGCTTGCAAATATCATATCTAACACTCTAAAATCCACTGATCCCATGAACAATTGCATTTGTCTTAAGCAAAAAAAAAGATAGATTCCTCAATTCTTACTAATTCCTCATCAGAAAAAATTGAGTTTTACTAAACACACGTATGTGTGTGTTTGAGTGAGAAATTAGTAAGGAACATTGTGTTGAAGGAAGAGGTGATAGAAAAAACACATCTTTCGTTTCTCATATTTATTTGTTATTGCATACTGTTTATGTTAGTATATTACTTAGGTATATGTGCCAAGTAGCAACTTAAATGTATGATTGCGTGATTCATCTGTTTGTTCCACCCGTCAAGCGCGCGGATAGGGTAGGTAGGTAGATGGGTAGGATAGGGTAGGGTAGGGTAGGTAAGGTAGGGCAAGGTAGGTAGGTAAGGTAAGGTAGATAAGGTAGGTAGGTAGATAGGGTAGGTAGGTAGGTAGGTAGGTAATGTAACTTGCTTAATCCACTATATATAAGGTGTATTTATAAGTATAGCGCATACCTCGGTAGAACGTCATCTTACGAGCTAATCGGTAATAAATAAAAGTTGGGCTTGGGGCCGGGCTTGGGAAAGTTTGGAAAGGAAAAACGCGTTTTAATAAGAGGGCGAACGATTTTGCGTTTCTGCGTCCGTGACTAAAGCAAATCGCGCGCGAAGCAGCACGTCTTCGCGAACATTGTTTTCGAAGAAAATCGGGATCGAACGTCGTTTCACGAGTCGTCGTCACGGCTACATCTCGCGTTGTCACGCGCATTGATTTTCTTATTTTTTTTTTTATTTTTTTATTTTTTTTTAATAATCTATCGGTACGGGCGACTTATCCAACAAATTGGGCTACCTACTGAAAAGAAATACTTGCCTGTGTGCTTCTTTTACATTTTCTTCTTAAACGCGGAAACTAAAAATGATAGTAACTCTATAAAATATTGCCGTTCGCCGTTTTCGTCGCACTCGTCGTGTGCGACGATCGAGTTTTATAATCGATAATAATGCGATTCCATCAGCACTGTCTCGATTAAACTATTAAAGACTATATTTCCAATATTTCTTACGATATATATGAGAAATAATAAATATATATACACATATTTTATTAACTTAATATAGTTATTTAGCAGAAAAATTAAGATAAAATTGTTTTCTAATAAACTCTATATATAGAATATTATATTCATTTAATTCATAATCTATGTTAAAAAATTTATTAGAATTTTGTCATTTTTAATAAACCTTTAAATCAGAATATTAATAAATATGCGCTTAATAAACAGCTTAAATTCTTAAATAGAGTTCTAACAAACTTTTCACATTTATCATGTAAATATTAAAAAAGATAGTCTTTATTTAGATTAGAAGCAGAATTGCTAATATGTGCGACTGCGATCTATCACTTTGACGTTTGGAGTGCAAGAAAAACGTAGATTTGTCGTCGCGAGTGAAATCACTCTGTGAAAGAAAAACCTATTGTTTGAATCACTCTGATGTAGTTTGTAAATTTTTAATCTGCCAAACACATGTCGCACCTTTCATTTTCACAGTTGAATCGAGGCAATGCTGAAGAGGCATTTAAGAGCTCACCAGCAATGTCTGGGCAATTGTCAAAAATACTTTCGAAAAAAAAAAAAACGATTTTTTTCTCATCGAAAGAAGCCCGTTCACGGTACGCTCTCTCTCTCTCTCAGTGCCTCCAACAAGGCGAAAGAATCGAAATAAAATCCGGATCTTAGGCTACTTAAAGGGAAGGTCTCAACGAGAACTCTTCGAGAAATAAATATGTTACACGTTACAGTGATAACGATGAACCTTGTCGTACATGCTGCTCCTTCTCTATTTACAGTAAAGACAAACAATCTCGTGTATCCCCTTGCTCTCTCGGCTTCTTGGAAAGTGTATGATGTACATGTGTATCATCCGCATTGTCTTGTATATCCGTGTGTCTTTGTATTTTTTTTTTGTGTAGTTGTGTCTATATATAATATATGTATATATGTGTGTGTTACTCGGGCTCGTGTGCGATTAAATAACCGGGCTCTGAAAAAGTGTGCAATCCTATTGCTCGACTAATAGTTCTCGCAAAATGAAAGAATGCCACATCTAGGTTGTCCCTTAAACGTTAGCTATAGTAGAGAAACGGAAACGCGGTGTGTATGTTTGCGCAATTCCGACGACGCGCGTCATGCGGAAAAATTATAAACTCGCGCAATCGAACTACTTCGCGTACATACGTAATGTTTCGACAATTCTGGCGTAATTATGCCAGCCTGAGCTGGCTTCTCCAACAAGAAACGTCGTCGTCGATTTCGCGTTCTGTAAACTAGTCGTAAATCGTGTGTACGGAGACTACTTTATGCTCTGTTTATAGTCGGCTGTCGCTGTTCGCTATGCAAGTCAATTTCTCGCAGCTTTTATTTTTTTTTTCCTCTTATCACTCAATACCGCGGCAATAACGACGATCAAAGAAAAGATTTCGCACATGTGTGGTGGAACGAAAGATCTCGCCGATCGATTTTTTTTTTGTTTTTTTGTTTTTTTTGTATTGCGTGTGAACTCCTAGACCACTCATTTCGCATAGTCGCGCAATATTTTGTAATTTTCAGTTCTTGATTATCTCTCTCTCTCTTTCTCTCTTTATGTAAAATATTCTTATATTAAATCTGATCGTTTTATGTACGAAATCTAATTAGATGGTTTTAAATTCTTTCTTTTGTTTTAAATAATCTAAAATTTGCGTAATATAAAACATGATTTACTCGAGAAGAGAAACCAAATCGAGAGACGAAATGTTATCCAATACGAACATCGATAAACGAGAACACGCGAACTGAAAATAAAATTGGCTCTTTTAAAAGGTGGCGCCAGAGTTACACACGTTCGTCTTTGTTTTTGTCGGCCCGATAAAAACCCTACGAACTACTATTTTCTCGATTCTAAAACTGTCAGCCTTTAGTTCGCCTAGCGCAAAATTCTGCCCGTGAACATTTGGTTTTCGTTCTCGACGACGTTCGGAAAAAAGAACCGCGGCCTTTATCTCACTTTATCTCTCTCTCTCTCTCTCTCTCTCTCTCTCGCGCACGCGCTCTCTTTCTCTCTTTCTCTCTCTCTTTCTCACTTTCGCAAATAAACGCATTCAGCCTCAAGTGTAATCCTACAGCGTCAATATATCAATTTTTTATATATATATATTTATATATAATATACTTTTTTCTCATATATATATTCACTTTGTGTTCTATATCAATAATAGCGTATTAGATGCTTTTTTTTGTTCACTTATGTCTTAAGTATGTAATATAGGTATTCTTTTTTTTCACCATCTGTTCACAGATACATATATGTATATATCAAAATGTGTGGAAACAACACGAAAGGGTCCTCTCGAAATAGCCGTTCTCCGTTCTGTTGATCAGCTGTTCCTTTTTCACCTGTTTTTTTTTTTTTTTTCTTGAACGCTCTTTCCTCTTATTTAAAGTACGTTGACTTTATTTCCTTTGCCGGAAAACCAAAAAGGAAAACATCTCGAGAACATGCCATTCAGGGTATTACCTGTGTGGGTTGATCCAAAACACAAATTTTGTCGGGTAGTTTTGTTGCTTCGGACATTCACTCTGACACGCATACAGAGTTTGTAGACATGTTGCGTTTCGACATAGAAAACTTCGCAGGATAATTGGAGATATTTCGCTCGTTACACGTTTTTGAAAATAATTTGACTTAACATTACGGAAATAATTTTTTTTTTTTTTTTTATAAGAACACAATTCGAGACCATGATAAAACAAAAATTTATTGAAACTTTCATCTATAAATTACTGTCTAAACATTGGTCAACAAAGTGATAAAACACAATTTGATCTCTCTTAAATAAATATTAAGGAGAATAAATACAAATGAAAACCAAACATAAAAATGAATCCTTCTCTTTCTAAAGTTACAAATTCAACGTTACTGATTGCTTAAATTAATAATCGGAAACAGAAATAATAAATATAAATATGAAGTATAAATAAAAAAAAAACATATATGTATAAACAAAGATATAAAATAGTATTAAGAACAACTATACAGAGCGTTATCACTCTTACGCAACGTTATCTACAAACGTAATCTCACAGATTAATACATTCAGCAGAATTTCGAATGACTTTTCTTGTCGCTTAGTCAAGTGGTCACGGTCTACGGGACACTTAAAATTTTTTTTGGAAGGCACTTACTACTTTTTTTCTTTTTTATACAATATTTAATTTTAAACTCTTCCGCGCATTCGCTCTCTCTTCTCCACGCTCTCGCGACCTTATATTCTCTCTCTCTCTCTCTCTCTCTTTCTCGCTTTCTCATCCTCTTTTTTTTTGCGTATTAATTTTGTTTTACGAAATTGGGTTGCGCTCCCCTAACGAATTTTATTTTTCCCGTTTGCGTAACCCTTTACTTTTCGACCCCCCACCCCTTTCCGCACGTGAATTTACATTTGAACACATATTATGCCTAAATGGTAAAATAGAATTCGCGCTTTCCGATTTTCGCCGAAATAAAAAAAGTGGTCGAACGATCGAAGTATCTTCGCAACGCGTATACTTATAATTCACCGCGCGTGTCTCGCGTCGTCTCGCGTTTTCGCGCACAAAAATTACTTGTATCAAGAATAACGTATTAAATTTTTTCTTTGTTTTTTTTTTTTTTTGGCTTGTCTCGAATATTTTGTTTCCCAAATCGCTCAAATACGTGCTACGAACGCGCGATTCTCTCTCTTTATATTCCCCCTTTCCTCGTTTCTGCTCTCCACCGACAATATTCTGGCTGCATGAGCGTGGCGCGAGAATCAAGTTTTTTTTCCTCCTACAATTTTGTTTTACCCTCTCTCCCGTAAAGTTTTCCAGACAAACGGATAACATGGATGGCTCGTTTTGCCAAAAGCCTCATACGAGCAAAAGCGAAAAGCGATGATCTTTCCCT